GCATGAAAATTGTCAATAAAAGTGATAATTTTTTTTACCATTATATCTAGAATTTTTTTCAATTGCTAAAAAAAAAAGGAAAATGAAAACCTACCTAAAAGGTGGGAAAACAATTTCCTCAATTTCATGGAAAATGTGCACGTGTGAGTGTAAGAGGAAAAAAAATTTTCATAGAAAATTTGTACTATCAAACAAGCCAAAAACTCGAAAATGGAAAAAAATTTCTTCCACGGAAAATGAGAGTCATCAAACGGACCCTAATAGTAGTTTATTTTTTATTGTTGGAAAAATAGTTTTTTTTTTATCAAACGATATATTTTTAAGGAAAAAGCTAGACGTACTCCATATATGTCCCAAAACCTTTACTTCAAGCTGACTTGGCATTGGTTGACTATTCAAAAATGACGGCAATCAGTTTGAAAAAAAAATCACAAGATATACTCCTTTTCAAATTTGTTTGAATCAACACCTAAAATCAAACCCCTAAAAATCACCCCCTTTCCTTACCACTCCTATCTCTCACGATCCAACAATATCAAAAACCATAGGCACCTACCGTGAAGTCACCAGAGATCTTGTTGTTAATGTGAAATCGCCGGCACATTCTCTGTGAAATCAACCACTCGTCGCCACAGCAACCGTAAGTACTGAAGTTACACTATCCAAGTTAGTACCTATTCGCTCGTGTTTGGGAGACACCGAGTTTTTAGCTAATTTCTTCACCCCGCCCCGGCGGTAATTTCTGTGAAATCGAGACACCCACCATATCGCACACAGCATAATAACTGTGAAATCTATTTCGAACGCAGTGGGTTTGAAATATTAGTTCCCACAAGTAGAGGAATGCCTTCTTGTTGAAATATCAGTGTGATTCGTTGTTGAAATAGCACTGCATATACATGGATTTTTTTTTCTTTGAGCTTGCAAATTGTGTAAGGTGTGGAACGTGCACAGTTGTAATGCTTGAGTGTAGCTTGTTCAAGTTGTGGAATCAATCAATTATACAATTTTTTTTTTGGTCTAGAAGCATGATTTCAGTGTAAGGGATGGCCGGGGAATGAAGCAGTATGTTATGTAGTTTATGGTAATCTGTTAGTTAAGCAGTCTGGGAAAGTTTGTGGTTAATTTGTGTTGCACGAGTAATCTGTTTTTTTTTTATTTTATCTCAGAATGGCCGGGAAGAACCGGGGAATATGTCATTCTTATAGGGTGCCAGGACACGTGATGTCGGAATGCCCCAAAAAGCGGAGATGCCCATTCTCGTCGGTGATTTGTCCCATATGTTGCAAGCGTGTGCAAAAATAACCTAGGGGAGGGACTTGGATATTTCGCTCAACATAACCATGCATAAGGGAAAAGCAGTTTCGAAATATTGAATATGAATTATGTTTATTATAGTTGAATGACCTCGACTTATTGTACTTATTCAATTTTATGAACAAGAATGTCAAACGGTGTACGTTTCATGTATTTGTATGAACACGTTTTGATATTCCTTGTTTCAATTACCATTACCTCTTTAAATCAATGAGCAAAATTATATGACAATAGAAATGAATTTCATTAATTTCACACAAAAATATACAGTCGAATAAGCTGCTGTGAGTACTTGTCAGTTAAGTGTTTACAAAAATATACAGCCACATTTGTTACAAAAATATACAACCACATTTGTGTTGCGATAAGTGACCGCTTAATCAAAATCACCCACGTAGAACATGTCAGTTCCTATTAACAAAAAACATACAACCGAATGTCTCTGAATTCTTTAGATCCCTAAATCAAAATCACTTATGCTTTCCTGTGTGCCACCAGTTGGGATGGGAAGGTGGTTGTACTGCGAATCTCCTAAAAAAAGATAACGTGTTCAAATATTTAGCTTTGGAACTCACGCGAACCAAGAGTATAGTTTGACAAATACCTTAACATTGAAGGGGGGGGGGGGTGGAACATTACCTTTCTGTCTTTTCAATGTAGAGTTCGTTGGCACCTATATGTCATGAAAAAATATCAGTTTCAATGTGAAGTGATTCTAAACAAATATATACATATACTACAACAACTTGTTCCGAAATCATACCTTATGACAGGTTCTTGATTTTTCTAGATGCCCATTTCAGCGAAGTTTTTTAGGCGTTCCCTTTGTTTTTGTGTATTTCGGGTCCAATAGTTTTCCACCAACTGATTGTCTTGCTTC